TGGTTTAGTGTGAAATAAAATTTTAATTCATTATTTTTTGTGAAGCAGTATTGTTTTATTAAGACTTACTTAGGAAGATGTAAGAGGAGAGAAAGTGAAGAAGTACGTGTTCAAGGGAGAATACAGGCTTGAAGAGCAAGTTGAAATAAAATTTTAAAATGGTACACTCCATTCTAGAGTTACCTGTACCCCAGTTTCCTGGGTTCATAACTTTTCTTCCTTTGCTTTCTGAACCTCTCTCCCCTTTCACTACCTAAATAAAATTATCTAATTTACTACATGTATTATATAAAACACACAGATATGTATGTATGTATGTATATATAAAGGTAAAGGTAAAGGCCCTCCCGTTGATCGTCGATTTTGCTCGAGCGGGCCCAGTAACGTCTCCATTGGAGACTTTGTTGTTACTGTGTCTGGCATATCGAATACTCTCGGTAGCTTGCTGGGCTCTCCGAGAGGGGCAGAGGAATTGAACTCGGGTCGGCCATGTTGGCCGCTTGTAAGGCGAACGCCCTACCCGCTGTGCTATCGCTCATAATACAAATATAACACAAAATGACAAGGTATTTTGGATGGGGGCAGTTAGACCATACCCGATGGTACTGGGAATTTACTCTGTGTTGGAGTAGGCGGGGTTTCACCCTATGTTGCACAGGAGAGCTTCTAGTGTGGAGATCACACTTGGGTCAGCTTCATGTCTTGGTTTATTGAGTTTGTTTGTGTTTGGAAAGCACACATAATAGTGCTCAGGGTTGCTCTTGGTGGTCCTTTGGGGACCAGGAGATTTTGGGGATTGAACCTCAGTTTCCAGCATACCTGCATGCAAACGATGTACTCAACCATTGAGCTTTCTCTTTAGACACTGTGTGTGTGTGTGTGTGTGTGTGTATGTGTGTGTGTTTTGATTTCTCAAGGCAGAGAGTTTTCAAGCCTTGATATTCTGACTCTTCCATCAGGCTTCATTGTTGCAGAGTGAATGAGATCCAGAAAATAATGGCAGAATTCATTCTTAAAGGTTATATTTTCCACAAAAATAAGACAGATGCAAAAGAAAAGGTTTGTCCATCCCATGCAGATGGTTTGGTCAAGTGTGAAGCATGATCATCAGTTGAAAATGGGGAATAATGGGGGGAATGGGGTATGTTAATTGAGGAGAGAAGCAAAGATATGAATAAATCCAGAAAATAAGTAGCTTGCTAACCAGTGTTGAGTACTTGTTTGAGGTCTGAGGCTATGAATTAAAATCCATTAACACAACTGTGTTATTTTTCTCCAGCAATCTTTGGCATTTGGATGCAAGTAGTGAGAAATTTTTTTTCTAACAAGATTCAGTCCAAATGAGATTTAGATTCTTCTAAACGGGAGAAGTAAAGTCACTGGGGTAAGAGAATTAAAAATGTTTCAAAAGAGAATTACAAGGATTTGTCAAGCAAACAAAGTTGAATGAGTTGGAAATGACTGCATGACCACAGTAGAAGAACAGATTTTTTTCTTTCAGGTTGTTGAGGTTAAAAGATTGGTAGTCTCAGTCAATCAGTGAGAGCATAATAAATGAGAAGAGTGGGAAAGGCTAGTGATTGGCAACTGGGATGCTTGAAATTAAGGTTTAGAAGGTAAAACAGTTATTGAGGACAAGGGTTGAGGCTTATCAGTTGCTGAATGAGTTGGAACAGACTACTGGAGATGAATGAAGAGATCACAGATCTAAGAAACTTATTGTTGTTGTTGCATGGGTATAAAATAAAATGCTGAATATGAAGATGCTGAATTTACGAAGGATATAACCAAGCAAATAGTGAGAAAAGTCAACCATTGAGCAAGTCAATAATTTCTGAGGGAGGGTGGCCAAGAGGTTAACCAGGGATAAGGGGATTTAGGCAGATGATGGGATAAGGGGATTTAGGCAGATGGGATAAGGGGATTTAGGTAGATGATATGAACTTCAGATATTTCTGAAGGAAGAAATAGTTTGGAAGCAGTAATCAGAAACCAAGACAACACCCACCCAGTAGCCTAATCTTTTGGGCCTGAAGGTACAGACTAGATGAGAAAAATCCCTCTTTATTCACCCCTTTACATAAAAACTAAAACCAAAAATGACGTAATTAAAAGTAGCCTGTCAGCAATACTAGGATGCACCTAGGAGGATTCAAAGGCTGAAACTGAAGATGCATGACTAAGTAGTAGAAGGTGTAGAAAGGCAATCTCAGCTTACCATATCAATCATGTTGGAGGAAAAAGAAGAATCTGCAAATATCTTTATGTTGATACTGTCCCAGGGTTAAAAGAGAGAGAAAATTAAAGTAAATCAAAATTACAGTTTTGCTCAGGTATCATTCATTTCAGCTATCTAAAATAATTTTCTTCCTGAATTACATTTAATGTTGACTTGTAAGGCTTAGTACTATTGTCTAAACTCATTTTGTTTATTTTGCTTGTGTGTGTTTGGCTTGTGATAAAAAGTATAATCAGTGATTCTCTAGTGATTAAACTGCTTTGAAAATTTCTGGCACAAAGCCCTACTTTATTTCTTTAGCATAAAGTAATAACTGAGAATTCCTGGGATAGTGGTTATTGTCTCCCAACTTGCTGGACAAAACAACTTTGTAGGAAGTCAATGAGAAGTCACACTGTACTCCTAGCTGGACGGTATGACATCACCTGGAAATCTTCATCCTTCAGGGACAGGTACAGAGGGGACTATCACATGATACTAGAGTGGGGTGTGTCAGTGCTCTGGACCCCCATGCTGATTCTTCAAACACCAAGGTCCTAGTGTTGAAAAAGTAGAATTCCAGGGCAGCATTCTCAGCTGGCTCCAGGACTCCAGCACTGCACTCTTTTCACATCAAACTTACCTTCAATTCTTAGTGATGCCTCCACTGAGGATTCACTTCAGGGATTAGGGGGTCTGATAACTCTGACCTTTTCCATTAGGACAGCCAAAAATACCGCTTAGAAGTACTAGTGCAATCAAAGCACAGCCAAACTCTTCAAAAATGTAACAAGATCATCCATTAATTCAATGGGGGTGGATCCATCAACTGTGGACTTGGCAGAAATTATGCTTAGAACTTTCTTGCTCTGCCCATTGGTGAGATTACCCCGTCGCTACAAAATCATGGCCCTTTGCCTTTCAGGTCAGTTCTCCCTTTGAAGAATAAAACAGTAGCTTATGTGCCCAATGGAAGCTGTGCAGTAAAGGAGGTAGTGGTGGAGAAATGAGGTAACTTTTTTTTTTTTACAGATCACCCTAAAAACTCACAATTTGCTGATACACAAGATTGTTGCATTGCTGAATTTATGGCATTGTTTAAATGTTGAATTTTAATTGCTTCTAGGGAAATACTACATCGTTTTAAAATTGGACTCAATCTGAGCAACTGAAATAACTGAATCATTTTTAGTGAAGGTGTTTGTTTTGAATATACTCCAATTTAAACCGCCATGCAGAAACCCGATAAACATTGCGAAAATTTAGACAGCCTATAGTTTGGAAGTCAGAATCGGGGGAAACAAGCCGCTGTAAAAGACGAGCGTCTTTGAGCTCCTTACAAGACAGCTTTTTGAAATATAGGCCGGCACCAGCATATAGGTTTAGTTAAGATACTCTCAAGGGTTACAAGTTTTTTTTTTCACATCGATGCTCATTTTATGGCAAGGAGACATAAACGCTGGTGCAAACTTCGGGGACTACCAGGTTTTTATCGGAATCCGTGGTATATGGGTTGGGTTTAGGATTCTCAGGTGATTCACATAGGTCACTAGGCTTCCTCTAAGACTAAAATCCAGTTTTGTATCATCGCAGTGCTCCCAAATAACCCCTTAATGCGTTCCTAAGCGTTGCTTTCATTCTGTTGACAGAACTCTAGAATAAAGTCGCTGCCCGCCCGATACTCTTGGGGAGGAAGGGATCTAACCTAGAGATCGCGCTTCATTAAGTATCTCCTTTGGGCCCCCCAGCTCCAACTGTCGAAAATAGTTCTTAAATGCCCTAACTTTTAGAGAGGGGTGGGGGGGCGGGGGTACCCGACCGAGCAAAGCAGTCACAAGCTCGGGGCTATTTTCAAGCGTCCAGCCGCACCACAGGTCTGGCTTTTCCAGAATCCCAGGAACAAAAGAAGCGTTTGCAAGCGGGGACGGGGCTCTAACCGTCCGCTCTCTCCCTCCCTTCCCCGCCCCTCCGGGGAGCCAAATCAGGGACCCGGAGCGCCCGCAAGCACGCCGTGCTCTCTCTTCCCCAGTCTGGCCGAGCTTTTGAGGAAGGAAAAGCTGCGGTTATTCTTGGGTGAAACCAGGGTCCCGGGATGGCTCGTGGCCCAGCCAAGGCTTTTCTCGCCGCTAGCGTGCACCTCGGCCCCTGCGCTCCGCCACCGACCCGGGCGAGGAAAGCGGCTCCGTCTCACGCCTGGGGAGGGAGCGGAAGCCGCGCACAAAAGCCGTACGGCCGGCCCCTTATCAGCGCCGGAGGGGAAAGGGTGGAGTGCGGGGGGGAGGGGGGGTTAAAAAAAGTGGGGGCGGGGGAAGCGGACGAGAAACGGGAGCCAGAAACGGGCCGAGCAGCGGGGCTCCCGCCCGAGCGCCTTTTAAACTGCGTTTCTACAACCTCTCGCTCGGCGCCGCGGCTAATGGAACCCGCGCGAGCGGCCCCGCCAATCACGGCCGCGCTTTCTCCCGCCGCCAGCCAATGGCGAGGCGCCTTGTTGGGGCGTGGGCGAAGCGGGCGGCCCACCCCTTGCCTGGAGAGTGTGTGTGTGTGTGACTGTGCTTGCGTTTGGGGGCCGTCGGGCTCGGTACGGGCTTCTGGCTTGGCCGCACTTGCTCGGGACGTGCGCTCCGGGGGCTTTTGTGTCGGGCGCGGGGGCTCCGCTGGGGGCGGCCGCGACTTGGCTGCGGCTCCGCGGCGCGGTGCGGCGCGGCGCGGCCGCCGGGAGACTCGGGAGGCGGCAGCGCTCACCTCCCCCCCCCCTCCACTCCCCGCCTCTCCGTCCCCCCTCACCCCTCCTCCCCTTCACCCAGCCCGGGGCCGGGAACGAACGAGCGCGCCGGCGTGAGCGGCGGCTGGCGAGGGCTGCGGGGTAAGGGGAATCGCCGCCGCGATGCCGGAGTTCCTGGAAGACCCCTCGGTCCTGACGAAAGAGAAGTTGAAGAGTGAGTTGGTGGCCAACAATGTGACGCTGCCGGCCGGGGAGCAGCGCAAAGACGTGTACGTGCAGCTCTACCTGCAGCACCTCACGGCGCGCAACCGGCCGCCGCACGCCGCCAACAGCAAGGGGCCCCCGGACTTCTCCAGCGACGAGGAACGCGAGCCCACCCCGGTGCTGGGCTCCGGGGCCGCCGTGGGCCGCAGCCGCGCCGCCGCCGGCAGGGTAAGGAACCGGCCCCGGGACCGCCGGGGCCGTCAGAGGCGGGTGTTGGGCGGTCGTGGCCCCCCTCGCGCGCGCGCGCGCGATCGCGCTGCCCGGCCTCCGGGGCGCCTCCGCGGGCCTCCCCGGGCGGCCGACGGCGGGCCGGGCTGCTCGGCCGCGGGGCGGCAGGGCCTGGAAGGGAGAGGAGGGCGCTCGAGAGGAGGAAGGGGAGGAGGAGCGGCCCCCCAAGTTGGGGCTTGGGCGTCTGGGTCGGGAAGGGAGAGGGGGGTGGGGGTCCGGAGAGGTGGGAAGTTGGCGGCGTCGGCGGTGGTTCCCGGGCGCGGCGGGGTGCGGGCGTGGCCGCGGGCACCGCGACGCCCCGCGGGGCAGCCCCCCGGGGGGGTGGGCGCGGCGGGCTGACCCTCCGCCTCGGGCCGCGACGGGGCGAGCGCTTTTCCCGCTTTTATGAAGCGACTGGTTTCGGAGTCGCAGAGCGCTCCCTGGAGGGCGATCGGTGGCATCAGCGTTTGGAACCCAAATTTGAAATCCAGACCTTCCCGCCTTTTTTTTTTTTTTTTAAATGCTTGTGCCAAAAGCGAGGGCTTTTTGAAACGGTCGGGGCCTCGCACGCCTCTTCCTCCCCCCACCCCCACCCCGTGAGGACCGTCTTTTTTTTTTTTTTTTATTTTTAAATCTTAGCTGGGGCGAGCAGGCGCCGCGCTACAATTCAACGAGCGCTTTTAAGAAAGAAATTCAGGGTTGAGCAGATAATTAAAAAAAAAGAGACGCTTGGTGATTCACGACTTGAGTTCTTAACCTTCGCCCCCCCCTCCTTTTTTTTTTTTATTTTTGCCTATTTAACCTTGAGGAAAGGAAAGGCAAAACTGTTAATTAACGACCTGACAGGTGTCAGTCGTGCTGCTTGCATAGTTAATTCCCAGTGGTGCTCAGATTGGCTCTAGCAGATGCATTGGGGGGGCTTGTTTGAGAATAATTTGGGGTGGTGGTGGTTGTCGTTGTTGCTGTTGTTGCTCTGTGGGGTTTTTTGGCTTTTAATGTGCTATTTTGTCGGTTTGGATCTGCCTGCTAAACCAAACTTCGTGGCTGAATGAAGTAATTTGGTTATAAATATTACGGTGCTTTGTAAGAGCTTGGAAGTGGAGTTCGGAGTTCTTGGGCTTGACTTGCTTCTTTCAAAACAGCTCTCTAATTTGGGGTCTGTTTGCTTTATCTGATGTGGGTTTTTTTTTTTTTTTAATTTACCAGGGGGACGGACGTGGAACCGGGCGGGGGGGGGAGGGGCGTAATAGACATGTGAGTTAAAATCAATTTAGGCTTTAGAGAAATTGGCAGTCTTAACTTCTTTAACCTTCTGTGCCGAGCATCTAGTAGCGCCAACCAAGTATTTCTTTAATAAAAGACCTTACTGTTTTTAATGTCTTAGTGGGTTTGTAGAAAGTCTCTTTACATAACAGATTTACTTTTGGAAAGTGTGTAGTGATTTTCCTTAATAGTAATATCTAATTTCTCCAACCCAACAGAGTAGTAGTTAAATAATTTTAGTAAAGGGAAAGGTGTTTGATCATTGTATGACTGAGACTTAAACCTGAAAGCTTTGTAACTTTTCCCACAGTAATTCAATAAATAAATATAAGAAGAAAAATAAATAATTTTAGTAAAGATATTCCCGTTGAATCAGCAGTATTTTTTTTTTCAGATATCTCCTTTAGGATCCTCTGTGGTCCTGTGTGCAAATATTTTTGAGCCATATAAATTTTTGTAAGATTATTGGATTGTATAAGATTATAACAAGAGCTACGTTTATAAGATTATTATTTTTGTTGATTTGTTTTCCACAGCAACAACCACCTTGATTTGATATCTTTTCTCCAAATCTTAAATTTTTTGTTGTTATTTTGGTTCTGGAGCCACACCTGGCAGGGTTCTTGGAACATATAGGGTGCCAGGGATTCAACCCTGGTTGGCCACGTGCAAGGCAGCCATACTCACTCTACTTCTCTCCAGCCTCCTCTCCAGTAATTTAGTGTGTGTGTGTGTGTGTGTGTGTGTGTGTGTGTGTGTGTGTGTAATTGTGTGTGTCCCAGTCTTCATGTGTTCTTTGGGTTTTTTTGTTTTTTTGAGGGGGGCGGGTCATATCCGGCAATGCTCAGGAATTCAGGGATTCCTCCTGGCTCATGCACTCAGGAATTACTCCTGGCAGTGCTGGGGGAGGGGGGTGCATATGGGATCAACCCCGGGTCGCTGCATGCAAGGCAAACGCCCTACCCGCTGTGCTATTGCTCCAGTCCCTTCATGTGTTCTTTGAATATGAAAAGACGTGAATGTAACTTCAGTTTCCTTTCCCAGTATTTTTGAATTCCTATCATTGTTCTCAATATGTTGGAGATCTGTCAATCTCTGCAGACCCCAGTCACCATCATGATTATTTTTATTTGGGGCAAAGAATGGTTTGGCCCACAACCTGGTTGTGCTCAGGGCTTACTAATCCTGGCTCTTTGCTTGCGGAGGTGATGGTGGACATATGTGGTACTGGAGATCCAATGTGGGTGGGCAGTGTGCAGGACAAGACCCCTCTGCCTGTCCCCAGCCACTATAATTATTTAGTTATCTTGGGTTTCCTTGTTGTTGACTGCTGCAGATCTCAACAAATTTAATCCAAGTTGGACAGCACCATGGAATTAGTGAAGAGAAAAGAATGAGCATTTTGAGAACTATGTCCAATGACGTGGTCAGCATTTATACCTCATAGAGGTGTATCGTTTGATCCCAGAGAGAAGAAATATTTTGTAACACTAGATTTAAGCTGCCTTTTCATTTTATTGAGTTCCTTGAGCACTTTAAGTCAAAAAGTGCACCCAAAACTAGGCTCAGTGGTGTCAGCAGCATGAAATGGTTAATGATAATTGGTTACAAGCATCATTTTATGTTTCAAAGCACATTAAGTGACAGTGAATACTAACTGTTGGTAGACTTTTTCTAGGCATAGGAAAAATACCTTTTTTTTTTTGCCACACTATACTGCTCTGTTCTGGGACTACTCCCAAAATCAGTGCTCAGGGGACCATGCCATGTAGGGGATTGAACCCTAGCCTCTTACATGCAAAGCACGTGCATCCAACTCTGAATTATCTCCCCAATCAGGAGAAGTGGCTTGATGAATTTGTGAGCAAAATAAACTTTAGGAGCTTTGTAATAATTGGCATGTAATTTTTTTTATTCATGTCTCTTTTCCTTGTATACGTGTATGTATTTTTTAATGGTCTACATATTGTTAGCTTCATATGTAATAATTATAAATTACCTTATTTTGGGAGTCTCAGAAAAGGGTTTTTTTTTTTTTTTAAGTAGGAGATTAGTAATTTGGCAATTAGAGGGCCATACCTAGCTTTGCTCAGAGCTCACTACAATCTGTGCTTGGGGGACCGTTCAGTGCCAGGGATGGAATCTGGGAAGCTCAGCATTTTACACTATCTCTTGGGCCCCATAATTGTAAGATTTTAAAATAGTAAAGTGGATTTGACTAAAGGTGTAACATATGCCTTCTATTTAAACATGGTTTTATGAGAAATAGATCTAAAGCAGAAATTCTCAGCCTTTGCTGTTTTTTTTCACTCGATGACAAAAATGTTCAAAAATTGCTTTTTTCCCCTTTCTAGAGCTTTGTATTTTGTACATCTTGAGGATATCAGTAGTCGTGTGTGTGTGTTTTTTAGAAAATAGTTTTCATGATTGAAACCAAATCATGAACAACTTTGTAACTTACCTCATGGTAATTAAATAAAAAGGGGGGGAAGCAAAGTAGTTTTTATTGAAAGAAATTCAAAGAGACGTGAAGAGAAAGAAAAGAGGAATATGTGTTCAAAGAGAACACAGACTTCTCCAGAGTGGAAAAAGCAGGATGGAGATATAAATGTTTATTATTGAAATGATTTAGATTATCAGCACAAAAATAAATGCTTACAGAGTTAGCAGTCTACCCTTTGAGTGTAGTTGTTTGGAATCCAGTGGAGCATAATGTTCTTGATTGGTCTAATCCGATGGATTATGAATCCTTAACAAGAAACATTTAAAGGTATGAAATAGCAGTCAGAAGTAGGTTGTTGATTGTAAATAATAGTTAAATCATAAAATTAACATAGAATAGGTGTTGAATGTACAGAATTCTTTTTTTTTCTTTTTTTTTCTTTTTTATTAGTGAAACACCATGAGGTACAGTTGTAGATTTACAATTTTTTGTGCTTGGGTTTGATTATACAATCATCAGATACCCATCCCTCCACCAGTGCCCATTTTCCACCACCATGGATAATATCCCCTGAGTGTACAGAATTCTAAACCAGGACGTTGGAGATTAAAGTACCAGGTTATTCAAGATGACCCTAAATAGTAAATATTGCTTATTTACTATTATAGACAGTTTTCATCTGGAAAATCAGAATAATCTAGTTTACTTAGCTTGAGAAGGATTATGTGAGATTGATTTTGTGAAGCTGTTCAGTGCTGAGCAACTGACACCTGTTACAACATGTGATTTCAGAGTTTTGTTCTTTATTTAATACAGAGAATGCAGCGTTACTAATGCTTTCAGAATTGTATTAGGTAAATTTGTGAAAGTGTTGTGCAAATGTTACTGTATAGCAGAGTATGCAGATAGCCTGAGTTAATTATGTTGGCTTCTACTTTAGTTTCCTCACTTGTAATATAGGAATACTAATATATCTGTCTTGGAATTTTTAGGATTTGATAAATTAATACATGTAAGACACTTAGAACACAACTTAGTATCTAGTGAATTGCATAGTAGTATCTGTTGTATGTTACTGTATAGCATTAATTTGCTACTGTGATAACATTTACAACAGTTTTATGGGTTTTTTTGGGGGGGGGATTAGCAGTGCTAATTAGGGCTTACTCCTGGCTCTGTACTCAGCAACCAACCACTCTTGGTGGGTTTAGTGGGCCATATGGAATGCAGGGGATCTAACTGAGGTTGACTGCGTGCATGGCAAGCACCCTATCTGCTGTACTATCTCTGGCTCCAGTTTTATATTTTAGGACTCCAATTTTGTATTTCAAGTGTGTGACACTACACCACACCACATCACACCACACCCATGAGCAGAGTACTAATAGCCCTCCACAGTTGCCATTGCATCCTCTACTCTTGCTCCTGCCTTGTTTCACCCCATTTCACCCCTTCGGGTCCAATAACCTCAGTTTTCTTGTTAAAATCCAAGGGTAAGAATAACCGTTGGATATGAAAGTTCAAATATAAATTAGAGGTTTGGTAGTTGAAAAGAAACTGGAATGTCATACACTTCATAATTTTGAATCAAAAAGTTAAAGTAACAAACTATTTGGAAGCAGAAATCAGTATAATTGACGTTCTCTTTTAAACTTTTTATTTCTTAATTTAAATATTTAAAAATCTGATTGAAGCTGCTGACTTGCTAGTCTTGTACTGTCTCCCAATTTATTTACTTATTTTTAAGTAAATTTGAAATTTCACGAAAATACTTTTCTGGAGTTTTTCCTTACAATTTAAAAATAAAAATAGGGCTGGAGCAATATTACAGTGGGCAGGGAGGGCACTTGGCATGTACGCAGCCAACCCAGATTCAATCCCAAACATACCATATAGTTCCCTGGGCATAGCCAGGTGTGTGACCCAAAACCCAAAAAAATTAAAAAACAGCCGGGTAGATCATTTTAACTTAATGTCTAGCAGTTATTCACCTTTTATGATTTCATTGTTTTTTATTATGCCCTAAGAAAATACAAGGGAGGAGCAGCTCAGCAGCCAAATGCATGCCTTGCTTGTGAGACTTGGGTTCGACCCTAGCACCAAAAAGAAAAGAAATGCCATGGAGTTGGTTGCCTACTTGGATTTGATAAACAAGTGGCTTGTTTTTCCCTCTTAGGGGGTCACTTTGATTGATTTAGTAAAACATCTACTGAGTGCCTTTTCCTGTGTCAGACAATCTTAACTTATTAGATGCTGGGGATACAAGTATGGAAAGAAATGTTTTTCTACTTTTGTCACCTCTTAAATGCTGGATTCAAATGAACTTTGGTGAGAATTAAAATACAGAACTTCATCTCAGATTAGGACGGAAAATGGGAGTGAGACTAAGTTAAAACAGAAGTGGTTTTTCTAAAGTTTTGAGATTTTGAGAACAAGCCAGTTTTAGGCACTACAGATTTAGGCGCTGTTGCTCAAGGATTTCATCATTGAAGATGTTTCAAGCATGCATATCAGTGAATAGTAAAAAGTAGTGGAATGTGGTATCAGAGATTTCTTGAAACCATCAGGCAGTTGCAAGAAATTTAAATCTGTGAATGTTTCGTTGATATTAAATTTGAATTTATTATGGTGAACAGAAATTATAAGTAATGTGTAACTTGGTTCCTATTTAAAATGGTTATGCTATACAGTGGAATTTGCCTTCCCAGTCTGTCAATACTTTGTTTTTGTTTTTTTAGGGGGGGGGGCATACCTAGCGTGGTGCCAACTGTGACCCCCAAGTCAATGTTTGGAGTTCACCCCTAGCGATGCTTAGGGAATCATATGGGGATCACACCTAGGTGTCTTACGTACAGTGCATGCATTCCAGCCCTTTGAGCTGTCTTCCTAGCTTCTTTTTAAAAAAATTGAAATTAAAGGTCTAGCTGTGGCTTTTTTTTATTTGGTGAATCAAGGTAGATTTATTGAAACTTATTTAGAAAGGTATGAGGGGAGGGGCTGGAGCGGGTAGGGTGTTTGCCTTGCCTTGCACGCTGCCTTGCAGGCAGCCAACCTGGGTTTGATTCCCAGCATCCCATATGGTCCCCTGAGCACCAACAGGAGTAATTCCTGAGTGCAGAGGCAGGAACCCCTGTGCATCACAAAGCCAAAAAAAAAAAATTGTGAGGGGAAAGAAAGAAGTACATGCTTTAGAGAGTAGTACAGAAGAAGTACAGGCTTCTCCAGTGTAGAAATAAGCAGAATACATGTTCCTGGGAGAACATGGGCTTGAAGATCAAGCCTCTCACCAACTTTTAATAGTTATCTTGTTACTATATCTCTTGAATTGGCGCCATGGATCTTATTATTTTCTATTTAAAACGTGTCTTAATGACACTTTAGTAAAATGCTTGAAACTTTTACCAGGCTACTGTTTTTTTCCCTTTGGTTTTGAGGTCACACCTAGTAGTGCTCAGGACTTAATCCTGGTTGTGCGCTCAGGGATCACTCCTGGAGGGACTTGGGAAACTGTATCTAGTGCTGGGGGTGGAACCCAGGCCAGCTGCATGCAAGGCAAGCGCTCTGCCTGCTGTATTCTCTCTCCAGTTCCCTTAGGCCAAAATGACTTAGATGAATCTAGCTATCATCTGTAGTTCCTCTTCACTTAAGGAGCTGATGTAATGTGTCACCAGGATTAACACAATTATGACGACTGTCCTGGTTCAAACTAAATTTGTTGTCAGACACTGTTACAGGGGCTGTACACTGGGTAAGGCATTTAGCTCAGCTGGCCCAAGTTGAATCCCTATCCCCACCAGGAGTAAGCCTTGAGCACTGCTGGGTGTGGCCCCAAACCAGAAAAAAAGAGAAAAATTTATTCATTTGACTTCTTAAATTTTTTTTAAGTAATCAATTTAATTTACAATTAAGTATAAAGATAATGATAAAGTCAAATTGTTAGATTAAAATTTTAAGAATAGGGGCTGGAGCGATAGCACAGCAGGTAGGGCGTTTGCCTTGCACACAGCCAACATGGCTGACCTGGGTTTAATTCCCAACATCCCATGGTCCTCCGAGCACTGCCAGGAGTAACTCCTGAGTGCATGAGCCAGGAGTAACCCCTGAGCATCACCGGGTGTGACCCCAAAAAAGCAAAAAAAAAATTAAGAATAATTAGAAAGCTCAGTTATAAATTATTTTTTATTCATATCTAAATGAAAATGTTTAAAGTCAGTTGGTTTGCTTTTGAAATTTTGGTGCCATCTTCCAAGAGAATATGTAAGTGACAAACTTGGCAGTTGGGGCTTATGTAAGTGTAATTGAACTTAGGAAATACATTCAAATAATGAGTTGTTTTTAATTTAATCAAATTGCTTTGGTACAGCATAATTACAAATCAACGTGTAAGTAGCTCAAAGGGCAAGTGTGCATGCTCTGTATGCAAGAGGCCCTCATTTGATCCCTGGCATCATAGTCATCACTGTCATCATTTCCCCCCAGCCCCCTTGACAAGAAATAGCATCCTAAAACAGCAAATTAAAAAGCAGTATGAATGTGTAGGTGAATTTACATGTTTATTATATACAGTAGATAAATATTATATTTAGTTTTTTTTCTTCTTTTTTTCTTTTTGGGTCACACCCGGCGATGCACAGGGGTTTACTCCTGGCTCTGCACTCAGGAATCATTCCTGGCGGTGCTCGGGGAACCATATGGGATGCTGGGAATCGAACCCGGGTCGGCCGTGTGCAAGGCAAACACCCTACCTGGCTGTGCTTAGAACTTAACTCCTTGCTCTGTGTTTAGTGATTATTCCTGGCAGGCCCAGGGGACCCTGTGTGGAGTGCTGGGAATCAAACCCAGGTCAGCCTTGTATAAGGCAAGCACCCTACCTGCTTGTTCAGTCCTATGTGAATATTTTAAATTGGACTTTGTTTACAGAAAGCCACAAAGAAAACTGATAAACCCCGACTAGAAGATAAAGATGATCTGGATGTGACAGAACTCACTAATGAAGATCTTCTGGATCAGCTTGTGAAATATGGAGTGAATCCTGGTCCTATTGTGGGTAAGGTGATACGATCCATAATGTCCTTTCTGTAAAACTGTTACAGAATCTATAAATCTGTGGTACTTTTAAGTGAGGGCCACTCCTGGTGGGGAACCTATGTCTTGCCAGGGATTGAACTAAGGTTGGCCTCATATAAAAAGCCCTATGCTATCTCTCTGGCCCACCTTTTGACATTTTAAATTAAAAATGGTAAGAGAAAGGTCTGTTGGTTATTACAAATAAAACAAAAGAAAGACAATGTTCTTGACTATAGAAAAAGATAAAATCATGCAGTTTGCAGGGGCCAGAGCAATAGGATAGGCATTTGCCTTGCACATGGACAACCCAGGTTCTATCCCTGGCATTCCATGATTCCCAGAACACTGCCAGGAGTGATTCCTAAGTTCAGAATGAGCATTGCCAGATGTGAATCAAAAACAAAACACAAATATACAATTTGAAGCTGTGTGAATGAACTGGAGAGTATTATGTGATTAAATTTAGCCAGGAGAGGAACAGCTACAGAATGATTTGTCTTTTGTGGAATATGAAAATGCATAGTAAGGGGGCCAGAGCAGTAAAGCAATGTGGGGGGCACTTGCCTTGCTCACAGTTGGCCCAGGTTTGTTTTCTGGTATCCCAAGTGGTCCCCTGAGCACCTCCAGGAGTGATTTCTGTGCTTGGAGCCAGGAGTAACCCTCAGCATTGTGAGGTGTGGCCCAAAAACAAAAGAAAAAGGGGAGGGGGGACTCTAAACAGAAGCAGAATAATAAGGAAGTAACAAATGGCTCAAAGCAACAGAATCTGTGAACTGGTGTACAGAACTGAACTTAAGATGGGTGGGGGTAGGGGGGCAGACCCTGAGACAATGTAGGAAAACAGATGCTTGTGGTATTGGAATGTGGTATTAAAAAAATAATGTTCTAAGTTTACATACAGCCCCTAAAGAGAAATACAGATCCTCAGTTTCTAGTGTTCAAAGTTTCATGTTACATAGAACATTGACAAACCTTTCTTTAGGTTATTAAGGCAAAATTAATTATGCCTAAATTTTGAATCAGCCTTGCAGAAACAATCACCAAATGTTAGAAATCTACTGTCTTTTTTTTTATTTTCTTTTTGGGTCACACCCGGCAATGCACAGGGCTTACTCCTGGCTCTGCACTCAGGAGTTACTCCTGAAGGTACTCAGGAGACTATATGGGATGCTGGGAATCGAACCCGGGTCGGCCGCGTGCAAGGCAAACGCCCTACCCGCTGTGCTATCGCTCCAGCCCCAGAAATCTACTGTCTTATTCTATATTTTCTTTACAGTTTAGAGTACCATTTTTTGAATCCCAATCAAAATAATATTTTTAATGTTAACTGAAATGGGCATTACACTAGAAGTTTATATTAGCAATCTGTTGATAATTAATATGAATATGGCCAGATTTTCTTCAGTTATATTCTAAGATATCTCAGGAGATAGTGTGATATGATTATTGACAAACTGGTCCTTAGAATCCAAACAAGAGCAGGACACTATTTTTATAGAAAAGATACTAAATAGTCCACTGAGCACGGCTATATGTGACATCATTTTATTTAGCATACAGATTAGAGAAAGATAGCTACAGTTAAAGCAAAAACTTTGTTTTTAGATTGTTTATATTGAAATGTGCTAAAATCTTCGTTATGATCAGTTTTATTCTGGTAAGTGTAGTGCATAATTTTTAAAAAATTTTTTTTTTTATGTAGGAGTACTGCTGTTTATTCAACCACTGATTAGCTGATTGAATTGGGCATGAACTCCACCAGCACAATTTTTTTTGTAAGACAATTTCCCTAAAAGTCCTTTTGAAATTTGGGGGCTTTCAAGTAGAGCTCGGGGTATCTAAGGCCACACTTATGAATACTTGGCCAACCTGGCCTGCCCTGAGGATGTAGTGCTATGAAAGCCCTTTGGTGCCACAGACTATATTGGTCTTGAATATGCCCTAATCCCTGTTGTAACTTTCCCAGCCCCTTTTTTGTAGGACCCACCTGGCTCTATGCTTAGTGTTGCTCCTGTGTACAGTGCCTAGGATTCAACTCCAGATATCCTGCATGCATTTTACCCATTTTTTTCCCCAGCCCCTAAAAGATTTTGTTTTGTTTTGGTTTTACTTGGTTCTGGTTTTGGTTTGGTTTGGTTTGGTTTGGTTTGGGACTACACCCAGCAATGCTCAGGACTTACTCCTGTCTCTGCATTCAGGCATCACACATGGTGCTAGGGAATGAACTCAGGTCGACCAGGTGCAAGGCAAGAGCTTTACCCATTGTACAATCATTCTGGTCACAAAGACTTAGTTGTGGTTGTTTTGGTTTTTTCCCTTTGTTTTTTACAAGTTTTTTTGGTTTGGGAGCAAACTGAACCTGGGTCAGCAACATACAAAGCAAGCATCTTACCTACTATACTATGTCTTTGTAGGTCTTTACTTACTATGATTTGTAAGTCTTTTCACTATAACAGAATGGCTGATTCAGGCAAATTAGTTTCTTGGAATTGTGGGATTTTAATTACAGTATTTTACCCCCTGCTTTCCCCCATCCCATCATTATTGTTGCGAAGATGGAAGCCCTACACACCCAGCTGCGTTGCTGGCATATTTTGTTGTGTATGCCAGGGACCACTGATAATCATCATTTTTGTAGAGGGGCGTGGTTTACAAAAAATGATTTTCTACAAAATACTCTTACATAGTACTAGAGAAACTTCAAATATAGCTTATAGACTCTTTAGCAGATCTATAAGTAGTGTAATATGTATTCCTACTATTTAAAAAGCATTACTGTGTGCATGTGCTATAAGCTCAGCTTGGCGGGGAAAGATGATTTTAGAAAATGATTTGTATAATATCTTTAAATATGTTAGAAAAGGGAAGGATATACCACTTTGGTATTGTTGAAAATAATGCCTGAACCATATCGTAAGTAAGATCGTACTAAAGTAAATTCTGCTTTAATATAGGAACAACCAGAAAACTGTATGAGAAAAAGCTGTTGAAATTAAGGGAGCAAGGAACAGAATCAAGATCATCCACTCCTCTCCCAGCAATTTCATCTTCAGCAGAAAATACGAGGCAGAATGGAAGTAATGACTCAGACAGATACAGTGACAATGATGAAGGTAAAATTTCAAATGTTAAACCAAAAACGTATGTAATTTTTTTTTCAGACATAAGATATAGTAACCATGAAGAAAATGTTTTAAATAATAGCAAGAGATGTAACTTTTGTTCATGTCATTAGACTGTTCCTCCAACTTAACTTTATACTTTTGAAAACTTAAGGGACAGAAACATGTCTGATTTTTCTGTTACCTAAAATTGACATGTAAATAACATTTCTTTTTTGCTTCAAATATAATTTTCTGAGAAGAAAGACAAAGTTCTAACTTTCATCCCTTTCCATTATGTCCACATAGTAGTCACTGTCACTAATTTGATGCTCAGTTTTCCCATCCATGTTTAAATATTTCCTATACTTCTAATATCTGGTATTATTTCATACTTAAACAACCTATGTGGCGCTGAGAATAGAGGAGATAAAGCATTTGCCTTGCATGTGTGACCAACCCTGGTTCAGAACTCAGCACCGTATATTTCCCCCAAGCACTGCCAGGAGTTGTGGACACCCTCCCCAAGCCTGCCCACTCCCCACTGAACCTACATGACCAATATCATGCTCAGTTTTATCACTTGCTCTTCATATACTTGAGATTTTATCACACTGAATTAAAGAAGTTTGATTTATTTCTCGTAATTTGTATGTAGTGGAAGTGTTTATGTATGGCATGTTTTCTCCCCTTTTGATAAGCATTTAAATTTATTGTTCTTGATAATCTGAGACAAGTCAAAAGTGTTTCAACATTTAAAATTTTTAAGAGAATTGGACCGTGGCATTTTAAGTTCTTTTTGAAAATAGTACATAAGTTTACACTTTTAAAAATGTATTATAATAATGATATGGGGCAGGGAGATATAGTATAGCAGGCAAGGGCCCTTTGCCTTGTGTGCTGTCAACCAGGTTTGATCCCTTAAATCATACCTGGCCCCCATGAGCACTGCCAGGTATGGCTCAAAAACCAAAAATAAATTGCGTTATAAAAACATCTTACTATTTGTAAATTTTATTTTTTATGATTTGTTCATTTCATGATTGTTTAATTTGACCTATATAATAACTTGTATCGCCATAAAATTTGCCTCCGGGGACACATTCTGACACTTTCAGAATATGCATTATTTCTTTCAACAGCACTATATTAGCAAAGAGGCAAAGAATAAAATCAGCTTAACCACAAGTAATACTTAAACTTCCTGCCTCTTTTGCCTCTACAGGAAAGAAGAAAGAACACAAGAAAGCGAAGTCCACTAGGGATTTTGTTCCTTTTTCTGAACATCCAACTACTCCCTGTGGTGGATTTTTTCAGGGTATTTCTTTTCCTGAAATCTCCACCCGTCCTCCTCTGGGCAGGACTGAACTACAGGCAGCTAAGAAAATACACACTTCTAAGGGAGACCCACCTAGGGATCATTTTATGGCCACAGCCTTGCCTGGCAGGGACCATTTACAGAATTTAGCTTCAGAAGGGAATTTGTGTGTTTCCTCCAGGTCTAGCCGTGATAGAGGTTTAGAGAAAAGTTCTTCAGCATCTCAGCATGAACTCGCTGCTAGGTTGGTATCTGCTACAGCCTCTCCTTCAGTGATTAAAGAAACCACCACTTCTTGTTATAAAGACATAGTAGAACATATTTTTCATGGAGAGAAAAGGGGAGTTCAGCCATTATGTACTGAGACATCCCATGTTTCAGAATCTGAGCGATCTCAAGTAGTTTCTCCACCGCTTGCTCAGGCGATTAGAGATTATGTTAATTCTCTGTTGGTCCAGGGTGGGATTGGGAGTTTGCCTGGGACTTCTAACTCTGACCCCCCACTGGATTTAGAAACCACACGTAAGAGAATTAATCTATCTCATTTTCAAGAAACTGAATCTCTGTCTTCGCCAAAAAAATTTCCAAGACTTAGTGAGAAGTCAGTAGAGGAACAGAATTCAGGTTCCTTTATGAGATTTCCAGATATATCCAGATCTGAATTGATGTCTCCCTTTGCCAAAGCTGTGGTCTCTCACTCACTTGCCACCCTAGGCATAGAAATGTCTAAGCAATCACAGCATGATAATGTAGATGAGCCAGAGCCATCTTTTCCCTTCCACAAATCTATTTTAAAAGTAATTGAAGAAGAGTGGCATCAGATTGATAAGCAGCTGCCTTCACTGGCATGCAAGTATCCAGTTTCTTCCACCGAGGCACCACGAATACTCTCAGTTCCAAAAGTAGATGATGAAGTCCTGGGGCTAATTTCTGAAGCTACTGCATCATCTAGTATTCAGGCAGCTTCCACTGACTCTTGTGATAAACAGTTGGACTTAGCACTTGGGAGAGCATATGAAGCGGCAGCAGCATCATTACAAGTTGCAACCCATACTGCCTTTGTAGTTCGAGCTATGCAGGCAGACATTAGTCAGGCTGTACAGATTCTGAGTTCTGAACCTAGTAATGTGTATCAGGCACAAGAGATTCTGAGGAGAACGTATGATGCAGCCTCATTTCTTTGTGAAGCTGCATTTGATGAAGTAAAGATGGCTGCCCGTACCATGGGATCTTCTACTGTAGGTCGTAGGTATCTCTGGCTGAAGGATTGCAAAATTAGTCCAGCTTCTAAGAATAAGCTGACTTCTTCTCCCTTTAAGGGTGGAACTTTATTTGGCGGAGAAGTATCTAAAGTGATTAAAAGACGTGGGAAAAAATACTAAAGAATAGTGACATTATGGGGAATTTCTCTAAGAATTTTACTAATTTCTGTGCCCTAATCTCTTTAGTCACCTGATTGGGCTACTTTCAGAGCTTTAAGCTTTTACCCATCAATTTATATTGTAAAAAGTAATTCCCTGCATAGAAACTTGTTTTGGGGGCCACATCTGGCAGTGCTCAGGGGACCATCCAGAGCTAGGGATCAAATCTAAGTCTCCTGCACAGAAAGCTTGCACTTCAACACTTTGAATTGGTAGCCCAGCTTATCTTTTTTAAAGTTGTATAGAGTCAGAAACAATTTGAAACTTGTAGATTTTTTTTTAAGTGAGGGTAGGTAGGTTTTATTTTAAAATAGGAGAAAAGGGGGAAATGTATTCAAGAGAGAACACAGGCAACAGAGAAACAGAAGAGGCAAGCAAGATGGGTTTGAGGGAGAATAGATCACATTTCTTTGAAATAGTTGACTCTGCTATTTATGCTTTTATATCTACTCAAAATAAGAACATTCTATCAACTTAAGAATGAATAGATTTCACTATTTAATGGTACTATCACTTTCTAGAAGTTGTCCGCATTTCTTAATTTTTCAGTTTTGTTTCTAGTTATGCCTGCAATACGATTCATAATATTATAGATAAGTATCACTAACCATACTAGTCACAGATTGATAATAGTTATTTGGCAAGATAAGCACATTAAAATTTCAAATACACATAGAGTTTTTTGATTAATTACAGGGGGCTTTTTTTTTGTAATAAAATTATATTGATAGAGAAAACTACTTATTTGCATTCTGGTGCAGGGGCTTTATTTCTTCATGAACTAGTAACAAATAGTTCATTAACTGCACTTTAATATTCTAGGATTGTGCATTCTTACCATCATTAGTTCATCAGGTAAACTGAACACTAAAAGCAGTCTAGCATTTTTTGTTGTTTAGTATTTTCAAAGTATATTGTAGTTCATGGATGAGTATGCTAAGCTTAACAATCCTAAGCTTTTAACGTGAATTTTAGTTGCTATTTTTTTTTTAGAAGTCATTAAAAAACCATACTTTTATTATCATGTCTATGTCAGTATAAAAGCAGTATGTTAACCTGTTTCTATGGATGTAAGACCAGAGAGTCTAATTATAGAGGAATTTGCTAAATCAAATTACTTTTTGTTTTTATGGGCAGTTGGTACTATTAAGTATAAGCAAAACAGTGGTACTTCTAGCCACCATTACTATACACTCTGTGTTTCTCTTCAGCTTTCTGGGAGCAATTTTAATTTGTTATATGTCTTCCGAATTGTACATGTATACATGTACCTACTAAGTGCTATGTTTTTTTAAATGTATTTCTGTAGAATGCTTCTGCAAATTCAATAAAGTTGTGAAATTTGAAGTTTTGTGTGGTCTCCAGAAACTTGTGTGTGTTTTATTCTTTGAGTTGCAGCAAGTTAGATGTTTGTGAGTAAATGTCCCTTTTTCATTTCATCCTTAAAATTCACTTAACATTATAGTTGAGAGGACTGTTGTATGGGTTTTCTTCTAAGGAAGAATCTTATTTTTGATGATTGTTAGAATTTAAATTTGTGAGAGGAATTATTCTGTAATGAGACATGAGTCAATTTCTCCTTTACTATCGGGCTCTCTTTTTTGTTTTCTAATTCTTAGATTCTGAGTTAACAGTGTCGAAAATTTTATAATACTAAAAACTTGAACTATTCCAAATAGATCTTCCCATACATTCACTAATAGTATTGGAAGATGTGGGATGAAGTTGATGTCTTATTCCTAAATAAAGACTAATCTGTTTTAACTTAAGTTGATAAATCATTTTATTTTTTTGGAACCCTACAAGCAGATTTTGCACTGACTAGTACTAGATTGGATATAAGACACATAGCAATCTACCACTTTTTAACCCAATTTGAATTCATATAAAACTAAGGTATTTAGAATTGACACCTTTTCTGTCTTTGGAAAGTAAGATCACTTTAGTTTTTGGCAAAACAGATATTTTGGGTTTTTTTGTTTTTGTTTGGAGGCACACCCAGTGTACTTCTGGTTACCCCTGACAGGGCTCTGAAGATCATATGGGACATGGGGATCAAATCTGGGTTGTCCACATGCAAGGCAAGCACCCTCCTCACTGTACTATCACTCTAGTCCTGCAAGTAACAGCTGATATACATTTTGCTATATAATGATGGATGACCACAAAAATTATGGAAATTAAGATTTTTTTTTTAATCTAACTCAAATCATGACCAGGAGAATAGAACATGAAAGCCTGTAAAAAGATATAATTGATGTTTAGGTTGATAAACATCATGGAGATAAGCCTCATAACATATGACTAGCTTGTCCAAAGAAACATTTATTTAATGGGCAGGAGAAGAATTGACTGGTGGTTGGCTGAGTTCTCTGGTTAAGATTGTTCCTTACCAAGGGTTATACCAAGGGGGTTTTTTGTAATCACATCAAAGAAGGGATAAGATTTTTAAATTTCATTAATGTTGTACTTAACATTGTTATTTGAGGCTTGGCATCATGCTATGATTTTTTTTCTCCTTAAAATAACTTATAGTTTTTCTTCCATATTCCAAATTTGAATTTAATGAATAAATTTATATGCTAGTTATACATGGTGTAAATAAAAGAATGGTTAATAATTTTGTACTTATGTCTTTTTCCCACATCAAATTGTTTTTCGTGAAAACCTACGTAGGAGCAGTTTGAATTTATAGTAAAGGATTAGTCCAAGGAAAATAAGGTAGGAAAAAGTGATCAGATTGATAGATGTTGAACTAAACAAGAAATTGAATAAAATAACAAAGTAAATGCTTTCAAGAGGAATTTTGGTCCATTGACATAATAACGATAATCAAACTTGGTTCACATAAGAATGTGCCTAAAACCCTGGTTCCATAATGTTAGGTTGATATAATTCATTTTGTTTCAGAGAGTAATGGTTTTTCCAATGTTATTTCCAGACTCTAAAATAGAGCTCAAGCTTGAGAAGAGGGAACCACTAAAGGGCAGAGCAAAGACTCCAGTAACACTCAAGCAAAGAAGAGTTGAGCACAATCAGGTATCATTAGCTTTCTAGTTTTGTGTTCAGGTGTGACTTTGAGCAACATTAATGTACCTGTGTTTTCACCATTGATTAACAGCTGACACCCAGATTCCAGTCCACGTCAGCTGTTTATTCCATTGTTTATTAAAATGTCATTGGGAATCTAAACTTAATATTTTTGTCAGTGGATAAGTAAGTGACCTGTGATTAATGCAGAAGTGTTTAATTGTCTTTTTGTGATTTTTGTTCCAAGCATGGTTCAGAGCTTGTCTCACTAAAAGAAATGTTTTAAAAGGTCAAAATGGGGGCTGGAGCAATAGCACAGCAGGTAGGGCGTTTGCCTTGCATACGGCTGGCCCCAGGTTCGATCCCCAGCATCCCATATGGTACCCCAGGCACCGCCAGGAGTAATTCCTGAGTGCAGAGCCAGGAGTGACTCCTGAGCATTGCCGGGTGTGACCCAAAAAGGAAAAAAAAGTCAAAATGGATCATGGCCTATTTTTTGTTTTGTTTTATTTTGGAACCACAGCCAGTGGTGCTCAGGGATCACTCATATTTACAGGTTCCTGGGCAACAAACCTGGATCAGCTGTGTTCAAGGCAAGCACCCTACCCGCTGTATTCTCTCTCCATGACCTTTTCTTTTTTTTCTTTTCTTTTTTCCTTTTTTTTTTTTTTAATAAAACTAAGAAAAGTAGATGGAAGATTTTAATGACCCTCTTGTCACAAAGCAACTGTGGTCGGTAACATGTTTTTCTCTGTGTTTAAAAAAAATCTGGAGCCATACCCAGTGGTGCTCAGGACCATGTGGTGTTTGGGATTGAACCCAGGTCCCCTTCATGCAGAGTTTATATTTCAGCCTTTTGGGCCATGTGCCCAGTTGTCAGCATTTTACCAGCACTTTCCAACCTTTTACATTTCTTTTGGTTTTATTGTTTTACTTTGCTGAAGTCAGTTAAAGCAAATCTTTAGTTACTTTACAAATTAAAGTGTCAGTACTTCAATATTTCTCTATGGAAGCAATATTACGTATACATATATAAAACACTGCCATGAGACCACCTAAACTAAATAATTCTTTTTAATTAATTAATAATTAATGTCTTTAAGTTCTTCCAGTTTCAGAAATGTCTTTAATAGTGAAATTGTTTAATTTAGTCTTTAAACAAGATTTTTTTTCACTATAGCTATTTTCCCACCATTTATTTGGTGTTGAAACCAGATCAGTTCTTTACAAAATTTACCACATTCTGGATGTGATTATTTGCTTCAAGTAGCATTTACTCTTCTATACTGTTTCTCCTGTCTACTTACAGTTAGACCTGTGGTAGGATTGGACTTTTTGTTTGTTTGTTTGCTTGTTTGTTTGGGGACCACAGCAAACTCAGCAGTGCTCAAGGGATCAGATGCAGTGCTGGGGATTGAAGCCCAGTTGGCTATATGCAAGGCAAGCAGGCACCTTAATCTCTACTATCTCTCTGGCCCATAGACCATCAGTAAGATTGTAATAGCCTTTTCTATCCCAATGAAATTGTTTCCTATCTGCCTTTTGTTTGGTAGCACTAGTTACATGGGCTTATTTAAAACCTGGACTGTGATGAATGCAGGTGACAAACAAAAGTTTTCACTTAAATTTCAAGAGCTATATGTAGTTGGTAGCTTCTGTGTTAAAACAACACAAATCTAGATGCTAATTCAGGTGTAGTTCCTTTGACAAGCATACTCTTAAGTGTGTTGTGATCTGTAATTGTATTATTTTGGGAGGCACATTAGATCCTTTTGATAATGCTTCAATTCATAGGTTCAGATATTAAAAGCCTGAGCCATTCATTTTGTTTCATTTAATGGCAATAGCCACAATTGGTGATTATCTCCTAAATCTATTGTTTCATATGGTATTGCCAGGTGAGTTTTTCAGTTCTCCTTTTAAAAAAGTTATTACTGCACTTTAGGTATCATGGTTCCAATAACTCTCATTTTTAAAAAAAGAACTTTTCATATAAACTAGCTTATTTGAAATAAATAAATGCTTTCTTTTTTATCTGTTTTCAAATTTTAAAATGCCCCAGTAATTTTTATTTTGTGTTTGGGGGCCACACCTGGAGACTGAGGATTTGCTCCTGGCTCTCTGCTCAGGGATTATTCCTCCTGGTGCTCTGGGAGCCACAGGCAGCACAGGGGAGTGAACCAGAGTCAGCTGCGTGCAAGGCAAGCACCTTAACCTCTGTACTATTTCTTCTGCCCCAGTAAATTTGTTTAAATTCATTTTTATCTAGTCAAGTTGTTCAAACTGTCCTATTTTTAACCAGTGGGAATTACTGAATCTGATCCTTTATCTTTATATTAATTTTGTTTTTTATGATTCCTTATTTTTGACACAATAAGACTTGTCTGTTTCCTCTTGGCAAGTCAGCCATTTTTTCAAAATAGCCCTAATTCTTATAAGAAAAAGTAGTTATTAGGCTACAGTTTGGATCTAGTGTTTACTTCTGCTGGATTGTCATTGCTTTTAGGCTTGTTCTATATGCAGAGGTAGGAGTGCTTTTTATAATCATGATCAAATTCATGAATTCATACTAGTCTCCTGATGTTATACTTAGATCTTTTTTATGTATGTTTCTAAATATTAAGTGTTTTTGTTTGTTTGTTTTTTGCTTTTTGAGTCACACCCAGCAATGCTCAGGGGTTACTCCTGGCTCTGCACTCAGGAATTACTCCTGGCATTGCTGGGGAGACCATATGGGATGCCAGGGATCAAACTCGGGTCGCCCGCGTGCAAGGCAAACGCCCTACCTGCTGTCCTATCGCTCCGGCCCCTAAATATTAAGTATTGCTACAAACAAGTACTAAGTGCATTTTTGGTTTTGGGTACAGTTTTTTTAGAGAATAAATCAAAATACTGTTTCTTGAGTGGAAAGAATTTTAGTTTTTTTAAATTTTGATAATTTTTTTTTTAATTTTGATAAAATAGGGAGAAGTCTTGACTGACTTGGTTTTGTTCCTTTGATCTATAAGTAACTAGTTTAAGTTTTGGTTTATAAATTATTTTCAATATATATCTTACATTTTCAATATAAGTCAGTATGTAGATTTCTGTGCCACTCTTTCATCAAAGGCAGCCTGCACATTATTTATTGGTGAAGCTCACCCGTCAGTGTTCAGGGACCACCAGCACCGTACCCAGTGGTGCTAGAGGAGGGACATATAGACCTCGAATTTGAACCCTAAGTCTTACTCATACAAGGCAGGTACTCGACTACTTGAGCCACATTCTGCTCCTGACCTTTTCTATTTTTTTTAATCTAAAAGCATCCTTAGAGATTA